GCATCAGTAAAAGGACTGCTGTATCCTGGGTTACCTGGGTTTGTCTTTTTTTTCTCAGCATAGACAAGAGCCATCAATGTGCAGAGAGACACATCTCGACTATCTCTTATTGTGTCCAACTCTATTAATGCTTCTTGAATTTGATCTGTAGTAAAGTCGTGACATAAGCGCATTTATTACAGATGGCAAAGACACACAAGTCTGACCATAAAATGCCATTATTTTATTTGATTCTTTCAAGCTCACCTTGCATAAGGATACCATATGCATGGAAGAAACTGTAGGCAGGATCATGGCTGAATTTCCTCTGTGCAGCGGCTGCAGCGTTTACAGCGTGATTGAAATACTTTTCATAACAATAGTACTTGATCAACGCCTGTGGAAAAACAGAAGGAATGCGTTTGTTTAAGGGGTCTTGATAGTAAAAAAAAAAGAAAAAAGAGGACGTTTCTTAAACTACACTATCACCCATGTTACTTTCAAAACAGAAGTATTACTGTAGGTTAAAAGACGGACCCTGCGTTTGGCTTCAGTGCATGTTAGCTACCGTTGAACATCAATAATCAACGCTAGCTAGCAGAAGTCATTAACACTATTGCTAACAGCAAAACGCTCTGTAGGGACTTACGAACCGGTATCTATATTATTGCTAAAATATGTGCCTGTATCATTTTTGCCACAGTCACGACAGGCTAAACTGTACCATGAATATAATATTTGTTCATGCTAACTAAAACTAGTCGAGTATCCAAGGCACTTTTCTGTGGAGCCTTGGATGTCCTATCGTTAAAGCACAGTAGCTTACCAGTGTTGTTTCTTCATCCTCCATTTTGACCGAGACGCCTTATGCCTAAACAATAAGTTACCTGACGTGGAAATAACTGCTGATTTACCCTGTCTGCACTGTACTTGAACACAAGAACGATAATATTACAGTCTTCGTAGTATTTTTCGCCATCTTGCACCAACTCCTTTAGCGTTCCCCTGTAACTTAGTAACAGACTTAAATAATATTAATCCCTGAGTTTTCCTTTCAGGCACCGTTTTCTCGCCGGTTACGTGCATGTCCAGCCACAGTTATTATTATTAACAGATACAAACCATAAAGATACTTTATACTGTTTTAAACCCATAAGTATTTATTTGGCAACGTTTGCTTGGGCACGATAAGTGCCTGGGGTCGCTCAAACTGGTACGAAGCCCAAGAGACTAAACTCAGGGAATAAATTACATTTAGACGACGCCATCTTTACGTTGTTTTTTTTTATTGAACATTTGTATTTACAACAAATGTGGCAAACAGTATTCCATAACATTGATATAGAACAGGTGCAATAATAAAGAACAGTACAAGAGAGGAAGGAGAGAAAAATAAATACATAAGTAAAATAAGGTTAGAGAAACGAAAAAAACTAGTAAAAATAATAATAAATAAAATAAAATAAAGGGAAAAGTCCTGTTAAAAAATAGGGCTTTGGTATTAAATTAGCCATCTTTACGTTTGAATCGAGGTAGTTTCATCTTGTATCTCCATAAGGTATCTCCAGGTGGCGTAGTCAGTCTTTCCTAAAACATAATACCACAACTTAAACTAATTATAATAATAATTAGCGCATACTCTGCAGAACATAATTATGAAGACAATTATAGGAAATAAATGTATTAAAAATGTCTAAATATGATATGGTAAAGTTTACCATTGGGTACAATTTTATAACGTGGCAGGTTTTGACTTCTTGGCTATATAAAGAAACATGAAAGAAAAGTGCCTGTTGCATGACAGAGCAAGTTTAACCTACTTTGAATATATGTAAATGATTCGAGTGAGCTCAGTGATGGATACACTCACTGAGGTGTGGTCAGTTCGCTTGAGGTTAGGCTGGCCTTCTGTTTGCCAGACCTAGCAACCTCAGTCAAAAATAGTGTAAATATTGTAAATAATTTTGTTAATTGTTGTGTAATATAAACTACATATAAACAAGAAAACAAGATAGTTGTCACCTGTTAACAGAGCTTTACATAGTTTACCATATGTAGTGGAAATTTATTTCCATCCAGCCACTGGTAATTGCTGGCCTAGAGTTATGCAACACCAGTGCCTTGACTGTTAAGAATGAACTCTTGATGTCTACAGTGTTAAGTCCATGGCAGGAGCAGCCAGTGTCCAGCATGGGTGCAACTGTTCCAAGAGAGACCTTTCCATGCCTTGTCAGATACTATTTAGCACCATCTCTGGCACATAATCATTACTCTCTGCAGCACACATCAATGGAAGAGTAAATCAGGTTGGTATTGAGCTTTGAGCGTGTGCAGCAATGGGAAATGCCTGTGTGCTACATCACACAATTTAGCTCAGTTTAGTTAGCCGTATAAATAGACATGATGAATAATATTAATTAATAAAAATATAACATGTTCATTTATGAATCCAAATTAAATAAATTATATTTTTTAATAATACTCACAGTGTAGTTACATGGGAGATAACTGAGGTGTTGTACTTAGCAAAGAGTAATAAATACTGCATGTGTTGTTGCACTTACAAAGAATGCATCTGAAAACCTATTAGAGGAAATACTGTGGAATATGTATCCTCTGGGATATACTGCTGTAACATTCTAATGGCTATATCCATTGTGGTTTGTACAGGCCATTATTGACCAAAGAGCCATGCCCAATAATACAGGATAATACAAGTATCTCACTTGCTAATGAACCCCCGCCCCCCATCTGTTGCCATAAAAAAGTTGCCTGAAAACAGATTTATTTCTCAGTGCACAGACAGACATGTGCCACTTCTCCCTTGTAAACACATGATGGTCAGGGATTTCTGTTTTCTCAAAGTAACTACACTGCTGTAATTTATTTTGGTTCAGAAGAATTTGTCTGTAAACTGCACTATTGTGTGTGCTGTTCTGGGTTACTGAGGGAGTGGTTCACTTGAAGCAGAATGAGTGTGCACAGTTTTGTTGTTGAGATGAAAAGTGAGTGTGTGTATCTATGTATGTGTCAGTCAGTCTGGGCTTCTGTTTAATAGCACACTGGGAATCCAGGGGGGAACTCACCACTACCTAATCTAATGGGATTTTCTTCCCATCTATCCACGGCAAATAAAATTACAGAGCTGTTATGTGTAGCATTCTCAGATTTCTCTCTGAATTGTTTTTCACCATGCCCCTCCATGCATACCAGTGGCGAGATCCCGAGCCCAGCAGATATTCTTTCACATATAACATGTCCACATGTTATTGCCCAGCTTGCGAGACTCCCGGTGTGGAGACAGACCAACTTGTGACCTTCCACTTTAATGCAGTCTTGCAAAGGAGCTTGATGTCATGTTGCTGAGCAACCAACAAAGAAAATCTGCAGAATCACTCTTGATTTACCGATCATTAAAACCCCACCTGTTGCCATGAGTGTGTGCTGGGGATACAGTCATAGGCTACATTTCATTGTATGCTGGCTCTCTTACAGTAGATCAGTTTGTTAGTGACATTATAAGCACTTTTTTTTTTAGAGAGAAAGACTTTTCTAAAATTTTCATATGAATAATTACCACTTTCTGACATTTGAGAGCATGCTGGCAAACATTTATTCAGAGACAACTCAACTGTTCTGCTCACTGGCTTGTCAGGAAAACAACATGTAAGCCATAATGTGCAGTGAGTAGGTGTGGCACAAACTGATAATCACATCATCGTTGTGAGACAGAATGGCCGGAATAATCAGCACTTTGCCATCGGCCTTCTGTTTACTGCCCTCAGGACTGAGTAGCCACAATAGGTAAAAGCAATGTTGGACTGTGAATATTTGGATTGTTATTAATTATTTATAAAATATTCCACCCACTTAAATGCTAATAGTTTCCTGCAGAAGCCACAAAGCGCACTCAGAAACCAGATTCTTCCTTTTGTTTGCTAAGACATACTGCCCATTGAAATGAAAATATTATAGGCCTGTACACATTTTCAGTTCTCAAGCTTCCTTCTGGGTAAAGTGGTGGACGGTGTTGTTGTGTCACTGAAGATGATTTACTTTATGTCATGCATCTACAAGTGCTTTCATTTTCTCAAGAGAGTCGAGCGATCAATATAAGTTGAACCACTGACAGTTTGAGTGCTCATTAGATTTTGCACATGTAATGGACACTGATAACACTAACATTTTACAGGTTCTGAAATGACACTAATGCTGATTATGGTTTGGTAGCTTTGAGGATTTTAACAGTCCAAAAGTGTACAACTGCTTAATGCCACTGACTCATCTATGTTAGCACTTTAGATCAATTTTTAAAAATTATATCTCCTCACTCAACTCAGTTCAACTCAGCTCGGCAGTGTGTTGATTTCTTGTCAGCTTCATTCAACTACAGACAGATCCTTGTCTGCCTGATATCAGTGACATTAGTTTACAAAAAAAAGGCTTTAACTCTTAAATGCAACTGGTATTTCATAAATAATCACAGTGAAAGAAACTAAGCATTTGTTAATTGTATAGTACAGAAATAACCACTTATTTGGGACAATGATGTAGAGATTGAAATGGATCATTGGAAAAAAAAACAAGGAAAACAGTTAATTAGACCTTATGAAATAGTGTCACTAGACATGTTTTTATTTATGCATATCAGGGAGAGGGAGGCAATTTTTGCTAGTAAAATTTGAATGAGGTTCATGTGTTTTTTCAGCTGTCAACTATAATTAAAACATGTTAAAGCTACAATATGTAGCTCATTGTAGCACTAGCATTAAATTCCAAATCAATCCACTCTACTCTGCCCAGCACTCCCTCTCCCTGCTCCCTACACTCCGCCACACTCTGCCTGGCTCTTCAGATATTTATTGTTATGGAATTACAACAAATGAGAATGCAACAAAACTTACTGATTGAACAGAAATAGTCAAAATCTCTGACTGGTTAGAGAGGTCAACCAATGTTCAAAACCTTTAGAAGCTAATATCTCTGCACTGCTACCAGTGCTGTGGAGTACATGTGATCTTTATTCTTTTGGCTTTTAGTGAAATGGGTTATATCTCTCATGCAGTTCATTTATACACTACAAGCATTATGCATATAAATGATGGGACATCTTAAATTCTATGTAATCAAAACATTCTTTCATGATGTATAAAGTATAGTGCAAGTATTGACCATTTTAATTACATGCAAATATACTTACATGAATGGAATTACATTTCTATAACATGGAACAACAGATGTAGTTGTGTAGGGTGAAAGTCAAGGGGAAGAACTGACAAAAGTAACGCAACCACCACTATAAAATGTAAACAGATGTAGGATGTTTGATGCCATGTTCTTGAGACAATCATTTAGGAATTTTCTGAGCTATCTTTCATTCAACTCGGATATTCATGATGATAAAGACTGAGAGGTAAACTGCTCAAAACAGTTTACAATGCACACAAAACATAAAAGATCAACTATCCGTTGCCATTCACCATTTTCAAATAAAAATATGCAGTTAAAGGTTGACTTTTCACCTCCCAACTAGATGTATAACATCCCTGTCTGCCTGAAAACAGCAGAATATGGATAATATATCTGGCTTCATATTACAGGTAATAAATACAAGTAATTCCATAAATTTTGTAATTTTATAATCATTATAGAATACACATTGAGGTTCATCATCAAAAACAGCTAATAAAAAAACAGACTAAATGAAAAAGGCAGACATATTGTGGAGACCTGTATAATGCAGCTGTCTTAAAAACAATATTACCGTTGATTTCCGCATAAAGCAAACGGTTAGAGGTTTGTGGTTAAGTGAGGTAACTTATAAAAGGGTCTGTTACAGTGTGCAAACAAAAAAGTCTTTTCCTAAATGTGCAGCTCTGAAAGACAATCCCACAGCTCGGGACTCTATTTTAGCACTGTTCATGATAAGATTTGTACATAAAAGTAATCAGCTGTATTGTACAATAAATACCTAATAAATAGGTAGCACACAAAAGGATAAGATGAAATACATGAATGATTCTGATGACTGAATCAAACTGAATGTGCAAAATGTTTCTGCTGTTCTGACACTGATAGTCAAACATCTCAAACATAATTTGCTGGATTTGTTTGCTCTGTAGGCTAAGGTCATCTTCCTTAAAAAGTAAAAAAAGAAAACAGCCATGTCATGCATGACTGTGTAGTTTGTATCATAAAGCATGACGGACAGGGAGAGAGCCTGATGAAAACTCCAGCATGCATAATCACATTCATGCAGGTCTACTTTTATACTTAACTGCAGCAACTCAGACATTGTCTTTTCTTGGATTTGTCAAGTATTCTAAGTGCTATCAGTTAGCAAGACGAGCCTTAACACAGTGCTGTTCATTGTAAAGACTACCTCCTGAAGCAACAACTCATTTGAAGAGCAAAAAAAGTGTATAAAAAGTCAAGCAATTCTCAAATTAATAACAATAAAACAGTTTTTCTGCCTGAAAAATAAGTAGGTAAAGTAATACGACATTGATATACAGTAACAATAATTCAAGACACTGGATAGCAGAACTAGTTGCAGTAGAAGTTAAAGCATTAACTAATGCGTCTTTCAGAACACTTTGAGAAATGTCGCCCCCTTAGATCCTGGCTCCTGAACATGAATGGGCCTTTCCATTTAGGCACCAACCTTTAGACTCAAGTAAGTATGGTCAGTTTGGCATAGATATCCATACAAAGACAGGGGGTCCAGTGGATGTCATAGTCACTTTCAAAGGCTGTAAACATTGTCATTAATTAAAATGTCTTTGTTGCATCCCTAAGATTATTTTATATCTCTCCCTCTCTAACATCTTTGCCCATAACCTCCTTTTCACTATTGTCTTTTTCATATTTATTTTTCCCATTTGTTGTCACACTGTTAGATGAGGGTTGAGAGGCAACTGAAGGTACCAGTTCACTTTTATCAGCACTAGGATTGGTTCTGAGCTTGTCTGTGACAGCATCCTCTTTGTCAGTGAGTTTTTTATCCTTTTGAATGTTGTGACCGGATGTGTCAGATGGCTTATTGGCAGCATTTCTACTTGCATAATATCTGTATGCTCTCTGGATGACAGTGGCTGATGTGTCTTCCTGTTTGCGGCGGAGGGTGGTAGTGATGGGTTCATAGGACACTTTGGAAGGATTAGAAGCCATGAAGCGCTCCTCCATCTGCCCCCTTAAGATGTCCATCTCCCCACCCTCGCCTAGAACACGTTTTGTGAATGCAAACAGAATGTCCAGGCAGTGAATACGTTCACCACTCACCATGGGCAGATCCATGGAGATCAGTTTGATGTTGTTGGGCTTGGCTATGCGTAACGGTGGGTCCAGAGCATCTGCAAAATCTGACAGTTTATTGTACTCCATGAACTGTGTTGCAGAAGGATCAAACTTTTCCCAGACCTCATAAAACATTTCAAAATCGTCCTCACTCAGCGGATCTGCACTCTCCTCAGTGGCTACGCTGAAGTTTTCCAGAATGACTGCAATGTACATATTCACCACAATCAGGAAACAGATGATAATGTAGCTCACAAAGAAGGCAATTCCCACTGTAGGATTTCCACAGTCTCCTATAGCAGAACTGCCAGGATGTTCCGTGGTATTGCTACAGTCTTCATTTTTGTTGAGGATGGGAGCAAGCAAGCCATCCCATCCTGCTGAGGTGGTGATCTGGAACAGACAGATCATGCTGTTGCCAAATGTCTCAAAATTGAAAAGGTCATCAATACCTGATTCCCTCTTGACATAAGCAAAGGCTGACATCCCAAAGATGGCATAGATAAACATCACCAAGAAAAGCAGGAGACCAATGTTGAACAAGGCTGGAAGTGACATCATCAAGGCAAACAAGAGTGTGCGGATTCCTTTGGCACTTTTAATAAGGCGGAGGACGCGACCAATCCGGGCCAATCGGATGACTCTGAACAAGGTTGGTGAAACAAAATATGCCTCTATCACCTTAGAAAGAAAAATACCTAAGGAAAGAAAGCAAAGCATATGAAACAACTGCTAACAACACATGTATCCTTACAAAACCAATAGCTGTAATTTTTGTGAGCAACAGAGTAATGAGAGGTGAGTCATACCGATAATTGAGAGAATGACTACGATGAAATCAAATACATTCCAACCATTTGTGAAATAGTACTGGCGAAGTGAGATTATCTTCAACAAACACTCTCCAGTGAAGATGATAATGAATACTACATTAATATAATAGAGAATGTTACTCTTTTCATCTGACTGGTCAGCGGTTTCCACCATCATGGCTACCATATTTAGCCATATGAGGACCATAATTACAATATCAAATGCTTGTTTTGTTGTGACATCAAAGATGTATCCTTGAATCTTGTTCTGAAATTGACAAAAGACATTGAAACAAAAATAGATTTTAGGTGCTGTGTAACAAAGTCGGATTTGTAATGCAGATTAGATACAGTTAAGGTTACATACAGATGGTCTAGGAATAGGTTTTTGTGGTTTCTTTGACCCCAGTTTTTTCATGGCGTTGTAGTATTTCTTCTGTTCTTCAGTCATGAAGATATCTTGACCTCCTAAGTAAAGATTAGATGTGGGGCATGTTAAATCTCAGCAAAGGTAATGATGAGAAACTGTAGGAAAAGAAAATGAAAGTAACACTTTTAAACAACAACAGAAAATCAAGTCCCAGTATCAGGTCATATATCAAATTTTATTATGCAACCAGACTTGCTACTTATCTTTTTCTTTTGCTGATTGAAATTGTCTATGATGACACCAATAAAGAGATTGAGTGTGAAGAAGGATCCGAATATGATGAAAACAACAAAATACAGGTACATGATCATGTTGGTTTCATACACTGGCTGTTCTTTTACCTATAATAGTGACAGAAAACAGAAGGATTAGTTATAATCCCTACAGGTTTAGGTTGACAATACAAGTCATTTTGTGTATATCAAGTTGAGGACTTTTACTGTCAACCAGCAAGTTCAGTATGCATACATAGTAAGTCAATGCATCTTTGACATGGCCATTTAGTAAAACAAACTACGCATTGCTATAGTTGATTGATTTCAATTTAGTGTGTAAAATGTGTTTCCAGGTCAAGAAAGAAAAGCTCTGCTGCTACTTCTGAAAATTTAGGAATATACTTTGTTTTACTTAATGTCATAATAAAAATCACTTCATTCACTTAAAAAAAAAAAAACAAGAAGCTAAACACTGTGTCATATAACAATATATAACAATGTATAGTGTTGTCCTGGTTTGTTATATTTAGGCATTAACATTTTTTCAAATAACAGATATAAAATGATGGTCATAAAGAAGATCAAATCTTGCTTTGAAGTCATTAAAATCTTAACTTACATTAAATTAAATTAACATATTGTGACACTGAGTGTAGATACCCAAACCAAGCCCGACAAGCCTCGTCAGTACCAGAGGGTTTGGGCTGGGTTCGAACAGAAATTTAGAAATTATGTTCAGGTCCAGGTTGGGCTCAGGTCAGACTTTAGGATAGATAGCTTGAACACTCAAATATCTGCTTCATTTAATGATAAGGTGAAAAATACTGTACAAGCCCAACTGCCTTGGGCTCTGGTCACATTCTAACATTATATACTATACGTTTGTCAGGTCCGGGTTAGGTATGGACACCACACTCTAGGCAAGGTCAGGTTTGGACAGAAATATCCGGCCTGATCCATGCCCTAGTGAGAGGTACAAGTTATAGAATGTTATAACATGAAACAAGCTGGATGAGTTAAATGTGAAAATTTCATCACCTTCCGTGAGTCTACAGCAGCATACATAATGTCCATCCAGCCCTTGAATGTAGCCTGTAGAAAAATGAACAACATCATGCTCATTTTTCACCAACACAGCAATTAACACATTTACAAACTTAAAATGGCACAAACATTTACAAATGATTCAGCTACTTACTACTTGCAGCAATGCAAGGTAACCCATGCCAACGTTATCAAAGTTGATTTTGAGATTCTTCCAGTGAGAAACGTTGCCCAGTGCAGTACACTCTGTCTCGTTATTTACTTGTGATCGAGCAACGTTGCCCAGTGTATCACACTCTGTCTCGTTATTTACTTGTGATGTATTGAAAGGCTCATCTGAGTTTTTGCTGACACAGCGGTGGTACTTCCCTGCAAATAAGTTGACTCCCATGATGCTGAATATGAGCCAGAAGATGAGGCATACCAGCAACACATTGAAGATGGAAGGAATGGCACCCAGCAGGGCATTGACAACCACCTGCACATCAGCACACAAACATAATAATTGGTGCAGCAGATAGAGACGTCTATAAACTGATCTGAACACTGCATACCTGGGTAATGGTAAAAATAGGAAAACACAAGAGTGAATGTTTCAGTGAATCATCACAGCTATGGCTAACACAAATGCTAAAATATGGTGACAAACTGCATGGTTAAGGTGGGAAAAGAATTAGGAGAGAAGATGGACTATAGATCAAATGAAGTATGTTACTTATCTAAAAGTGGTTTTAATGGGTTCCACCTAAACTAGAGAAACACTGAAACGAAACACCTTGTAGAGGCAGGAGGACATGACAAAATGTACTTACTGTAAACAGAAAAATAAATGTAATGTGAAGAAATCATGTTAAAGAACCAAGCAAACAATAACCAAAACAGTACCATTTTTATTGGAAAAGAATGTAGTGCTACTGACGCACATGAGATGCTGTTCATGCAAATGAGGGGCATTGTGGGACACTAAAAAGGCATTTTGGGAAATATAATTATAGGCTTTCTGGCTGGGGTGAAACAGCTAGCCTGGCAATATCCAAAGCTATTTCAATCCACATACCAGCACCTATACAAAGAGTACTAATAGAGAATGTGAAGATACATCACATTATCTTGAATGTTGGGACAGGGATGGCATTTTGGGAGATACACGTTGTATTTACCTGCATACATTCTTGCTTTGTTTGGGTAAAAAGTTGCTTAAATTGTTTAGCTCTCATTTTACTGATTGTGGTAATTCAGAATGAATAACCTTGGCTGACTTACAGCGGACCTAGAGGTCCTGTCGACGAGAGACTGAAAAATGACTCTGCACCCTGATCTCAGCTCTTGGTTTGGAAGATAACGCTAGCTAGCCGCTGTCAGCAGATAACACAAACGCTGCAGATGAACCAGTTTCTGTCCTGTCTGTGCTCAAACTGAACACTAAAGTGGATGTTTGGACGTAGCTGAAGCATTTGCTACTGTATGTAGCTGTATGGGATAATACTTTTTTTAAATTACTTAATAGATGTATGTAGTGTACAGTATATCTCTATAATGGATAATGACCATGATGCCCCAGAAATGGCACATTTACCCAAAAGTAAACACAATGTGACGACAACTTCACATTGTCAACTACTCTGTATAAAGCAGACACTCACTACTGTATGGATTAAAAAAGATGAGATATAACATGCTAATTATCGAGCTTTAGAGCTGCTGGTTGGTGGATTCTTTTACCTTTGGTCAGGAGTTAGCTTAGCTCCTGTATTACCACTCTTTATGCTAAACTTAGCTAACCATGTGCTGGCTCTGGCTTCAGATTTACTGTAATGGACAAATATGAAATATGAAATAACATCAGTTTTTTTCATCTAAGTCAAGAAAGCAAAAAATCTTATTCCCCAAATGTCAAACTATTCCTGCATTATTGGTATATAGTTAGATTGTGGCATTAATTATAAATATTTAAAAGACAATGATGTATTCAACTAAATATTTAAGTGAGACGAACAAGGACAAATAAAAGCTGGAGAAAAGGAATTAGGTAAGGAGAGGAATGCTTCATTTACATGCAAATTTTGGGGGTCTTGCAAAATTCTAGAACTTTATGCTGCTCTTTGCTACACTGCAGAACACCTGCACTCTGTACCAAAGCAGGGAGCTGGTGGTATATAGCACCAGAGTGAGTAGGGAAATCCAGTGACTCTTACCCTCATGCCCTCGAACCGTGACAGGGCTCTCAGGGGCCTTAGAGCTCGCAAGGTTCTCAGAGACTTGATGGCACCAAGATCAGAATATCCCATGGCATTGGCTACCAGACTGACCAGTGAGACCTGGAACACATGCAAACATGTGTCACATTATTAGCAGAGGAACCACAATATGCTCACTTTAAATGAGACACTACTGCAAAGAACATGCGTATATGTGTTTCTATGTGAGCAACCTACATCAACAATGAGGAAGTCCAGCCAGCACCAGGCATTTGTGAAATACTTGGCAAATCCATATGCCACCCACTTCAGTAACATCTCTAGAATGAAGATGTAGGTGAAGATTTTATCTGCAAACTCCAACATTGTTTTAATGGTCTTCCTCTGTTCAATGTAGACATCTTCAAATGCCTGGATGCAAAAAAAATGACAACAAGTAATTAAATGTGAAGATAAATATAAGCCAAACATACACGGAAGGAAAACATCACTGTTGATGTTACAGAAGATTTTGAGGTGTAGCTTCTACATGCCTGACATTAAAAATATATTGTTCACAATAAAAAATAGTCTGTTATATCAAAAATATTGAGCACATTAATTTGAGAATCTAGTGCCTGATGAGCGATGCCACATATAATATGTAAATACATGGTTCTGTTTTCCAGCAGAGACTTACCAGTGCGCCACTGCTGAGCAGTATCATGAAGATAATAAAACTCTCAAACCAGTTGTGTTCCACTATCCGATAACAGGTCTTTCTCAGTGTCCACCAAATCTTCCACCAGCCCACATCCACATTTACCTGACAACACTGGAACCTCTGCACACAGCCTAAGCAGAAAGAGAGAGGAGACAGGGATTTAACCGTGTAACAGAATTAGATTAACATCAAGGCTGTAGAGAAGTGGTGGTAGTGATTGTGGCAGTATTCACCATCAGGAAAACAGGCGCCAGGATCCATAGATTCTTCTAGTTCAAAGTTTACTGACTCGCCTCCCTCCCCAGCTGGCATACAGTCCACTGTGCTCCCCTCAGAGGAGCTGAGCTGCCCATCATCATCTAGAGTCTAAGGAAAAGACCATGAGAAGCTAGTGTTATATAAGCAAAAATAACAGAGCCATGGAAACCTAAGGGGATGACATGCTGAGCACCTACGTATATACAATCTTCATGCATTTTTCACACAAAGAAATTTTAAGAAAATACCAAGAGACTTGAACAAGAGGTGTTCTTGCTAAGTTTGAACCACCACTGAAATATAGTAGATATGGCTATTGATAAGACACACATGACAAGAGTCAGACATACGTTCAGTTCAAGTCTAAATCAAATGTGTGATGGCTAAAATGAATGAACATGCATGAATTTCTTGTAACAAAATGTAACAAATCTTGTGTTTAAATATGAAAAATATCTATATTCTTCCTGCAGTCTTATTCATTTGAAAACAAATAAATAAATAAATAAATAAATAAAACAAACATTAGAGCAGTCTAGTAGCTTAATGGCACAAAGGCAGTCCATTGCCCGTCAACAGAGATGTCAATAAGACTACATTACATTGCTACTGTCTTTAGGTTCCACATCAGTTTCATTTCAAGTGGGAGACACACACCTGACACACACACACAGACATTCCAAAGGGAAAAGTGACACTAAGCCATTATCATTACACAGTTGCTGTTATTTAGATAAACAACAGTGCTAACATGACAGCATGCTGCACTATGCCTGAGCATTTGACTTTTGTCAAATATTTGCTTAGAAATCAGAGACATATAGTACTTGTTCTTTGCAACTAGTCCTATGAAATACCAAAATTAGGTACATTTAATAAGTCTAAAATATGATTGCAGTGCTGCATCCTTTTCATAAATGTAACACTGGAAATATGAAGCCTGGCAGTGTTGTACAGTAGCCACATGGTCTCCTCAGACTGTTGTTGTATGGGTGTGTCTCCTAATAGCTGGTAGATAACAACAGCTTGAATGCCTTTCTGGAGAATGCAGGAGCTCTGGGCTGTCCTGGGACCAGCTAATGTAGTGCAGGGAATGATGTAAGTATGTTTTCTGCGATACATTGTGAGCACTAAAGTCAATATGTCTGTACTGCCACCTCATCCATTCTGTTTCTGTCAGATGTGTTAGTTCAGTTGAGAGTACTGTGGACATGAAATATTTTGTCACTTCTGGAATATTAGTTGTCATTTGAATGAATCAAAATAACTACAAATTACCAATGTGTTATCATCTCATTAAGAATGTTATTTTAAAATTATATATATCATAATAAAATAATACATCACTGTAGCTAAACAAATTTGACATCACAACAAAAATTAAATTGAAATTGTGTCAAAACTCAAGAAAAGAATACTAAAATTAAATTATATTAAAAAATCTTTAAAGTGATTGCACATTAGTATTTTCACAAAGGATATCTAAAGGCCAAAAGAGGATGAATGACCTGCTTGAAAAGGATACTGATGAAGTCAGCTCAATAAGTAAAGATGTGAGAGCATCTCTAAAGCAGCAACAAGCAAGCCGTTACCATGACACTGCTAATAAATGAAATCATTGTCTCTAAACCAGCTTCACATCAGACCAGTCCACAAGAGCATCCTTACCACATGGCATCCTGGTAGATCAGACGAGGCACTGCTGAAGTCCTCTGTGTTGAGGTTTTCAAAGTCAGATTCTCCCACAGCGATAGGTACATTGACAGTCACACCAGGATTGTTGATGAAAGACATTATAGAATCATCACTCTTGCTGCAGACTATGTATTTGCCCCCATTTTTGTCCACTCCAATCACATCCCCATTGCCGTTCTTAGTAAAGTCTTTGGTGGTATGCTTGGGGATGCCGTTTGGCCCTAAAGCTTTGTGGAGCTCATCCAAAGATTTGTTCTCACCCTTCCCTTTCTTATCCCCGAGGCAGACGCTGCTGCAGCTACTTCGAAGCAGGGATTTGACGAACACAATGCCTTTGTGAATCCGTCCAATTGCAATCTGCAAATTGTTCATCTCGCTGTCATCATCTGTCGCTGCCAGGTTGTCAGCACTAAATGAACTCAGCAGTAGGGCGAGGAACAGATTCAGCACCTATCAGATAATGACATGACTTAATGTAAGATTGCTTTATCTTTTAGCTATTGTACTTTCTTATAAGAACAAAACACGTGTAACTATAGAACTGCATCATGGATGATTATTCTTTCAACTATATCAATAAGAGTGTGAAGAGTTCAACTCATGAATTGACCATAAGAGATCATAATGTACCACAAGGTTTCCAATAACCATGACCATCATGTAGACTGTGATGCACATGGTCGTCCCAGCCACCTCCATACAGTCCCACATGGTCTCTATCCACTCTCCACAAAGCACTCGGAACACAATGAGGAATGAATGGAAGAAGTCATTCATGTGCCAACGAGGCAGTTTACAATTCTCCTTGTCCTTCGAGATTTTACACACACAGTCCATGTATTTTGCTCCAAACAGTTGCATGCCCACCACAGCAAAGATGAAGACAATAATGGCCAGCACCAGGGTCAGGTTGCCCAAAGCCCCCACCGAATTACCGATTATTTTGATGAGAGTGTTAAGTGTGGGCCACGATTTAGCCAACTTGAATACTCTCAGCTGTAAAAAAGAAAAGAAAATCAAATCATTTCACATGGTTCTGCACTCAAAATGCATGCGAACACACTGGCTATGATGCATATGTATTTAGACTTACCAATCTGAATGATCTCAGAACCGACATGCCACCCATATTTTCCAAACAAAGCTCCATTATGCTTAAACTGACAATGATCCCATCAAAAATATTCCATCCTGTCTGAAAGTAATAGTATGGGTCCAAAGCAATGATTTTAAGGACCATTTCAGCTGTGAAGATGCCAGTGAATACCTTTATAAAAACAAAAATACTGACCATTATTACACACGATACCTATTGCAAACAATAACAAAATCAGTCCTCTATAGGCCACTCACCAGATTGCCTACAGTCAGCATATTGGAGAACTGTTTGGTCATTTCATAATGCTCCATTGCCATAAACAGTGTGTTGAGTACAATGCAGATGGTAATGGTTAGGTCCACGAATGGGTCCATCACAATTAGTTTAACCACCTTCTTGATCTGCAGCCATGCTGGACAGCATTCCCAGATGAGGACGGTGTGGGCAAATTTGTACCACCAAGGAGGACACTTCTGCCTCGACTCTTCAAGCTCTGATGCACATGAGTGATGGAAAAATAAAAATAGCAATATTTATCTTGTCAATATCCACAATTATGTTGGCGCCCTCGTGAAGAATACTTACCATCCACTGTGCTCGTTATGACACTAGCCACACTGTGGGTTCGCTGTCTGGCCTCTGGGCCTTCAAGACAGTCCATAAACTCCTGTGCTCTTCCATCGGCCTGTCTGTACTCTGTGTCTGTGGTGTCAGGCTGGGGATACAAATCACTCTTAGAGATGCAACTGTGTCACTGAGAATATGTTACACGTTACCTTGGATATACAGTAGCTACAGACATGAATAAAAGTGTCAGCATTTTGTGTTATTATCACATTGCTGAGTTTCAAAAGTAAAAGGAAATAACAAGCAAAGGGAGCTGTGCATTAGAAAGCTGCACAGTTTTACAGTATACCAAGTTGACTCCAATAAGGAGATCTTACAGTAAGGTTATATACAGTATAACTTGGCGGAATAATAGCATCCTGGTCAGAAGGTGCTTGCCAATCATAGTGGCTCAGGAAACAGAAGTGTAATGGTAAGAACGTTGTTTTTGTCATTCTCCACCATTCTATACAGCATTATCAGTTAAATGTTAACTTAACCACCCACCAAGGCTCTTGTGTCTACCAAAGACGGTGCACTACACTTGGCACTGGGCATATCTGAGGAGTTAGTGTTGTAGGGATGCCAGCATCAGTCTGTTGGTTAAATGAATTGCTATGAATGTAGGTGCAGTTATCCACGGTGCCAATAAGACAAATCCTAATGATGCTGGTGATCCTATGACTTCTCCCTTCGGTTTATGACTGAATACCTGCAAATTAACGGCGTTCCCACCAGCCTGAACTGTACTATTTTCACTTTCAAATTACTGGTGTTGGAGCTTTTGCTTGCGATTGCATCAGCACGCAATAATGTAACACAAAGCAATTAAATAAATAAACAGCTGTTCACTGCATAGCCTGCTGGAATGAAAGATCCTGGAACACAAAATCAGTAGCATAGAAATCAAGAAAGGAAATAATCAGTAACACAACCAAGGCTACAATAGAGCTACATGCAAATGAAACAAGATCATCTGAGCTCTACAAGTCTTTCTTACATTGTCTCCACTGGAGGCTCTATCTACCGTCACCTTAGGCAGATGGAGCCCCGCAGGTGACGATGGGTGTGAATTCCCACCCATTAGAGATACAACTCCACTGCAGTCCATAGAGTTGTGCTTGATCCCATTGGGTTGAAGCAGGAGATGTGACAAGAAGCTGTATTGGCTCATACTGCTGCTGCATCTATCACAGCCTCGAGGAAGAAACAAAGAGCCCCTCCGGCTTAGGTTGTCTTCAAAAAGGCTGTTCTCATCATCAGCAAAGTCATTTTCTGAGCCCATGTCCTGCGTTTGGCTTGGGAAACTGAAAACACTGGTCCTACTGTTCCGTCTGGATGAGAACAGGGGTCCATGAAAACTCAGAGAGGACTAGGAAAGAAAGATATTTTCTTCAGTGGAAAGCTCTGATGCATGCTGACTGTAAAGAAACAAAAATAGCGATGAAGGTGACTGTCATATGCACAAATGAAAAAAGTGAATCCTGTTTGAGGTGAAGAAAAAAATTACAAGATGATCGCAATGATGATGATGGCCATAAAGGAATCAATGAGCATTGTAAGGAAAGTTTAAAATTAATAGCACATGTTGATAATGACTGAGATTGGCAAGGATGATGATCACTGTGATGATGAACATGATGATGATAAAGGAGAAAAAGATGATGATGACGATGATGAGCACGATGCTGATTATGCTGATGGTCATAATGATGACAAGCATTGAAAGCAGGAAAACCGTAAAAAGAAAAATGTATCCTGGTGATAATTGGCAATGACAAGAAATATAAGAAGCTGATGAAGACAAAGGAGATGATGATTATGATGATGATGATGATGATGAAATGAAAAAAATATTGCCATTGTATTAGAAGTGAACTATATGACATGAAAGCAATCACAAAATATGTTAGCAATTCATGAAGGATGAGGGCAAAGAGCATACATACATATACATGGCTGTCATATACAAATTGACAGATTGTACTGAACCTGATGTGCAGATGAGCATTTCATGTCATAGTTGAGCAGGTTTGCATCCACAGAGAAGCGACAGCGAGCCTTCTTTATACTGTCCTGTGACTCCAATTTAACAGATTTCTCATCAGCCCCTTTGCCTTCCTCCTCCTTTTGTTTTTTTCGCCTGTTGCGTCTCTCTTTGGCACTTTTGGAGCTCAGTTTGGAGATGTCGGAGGGGCTATCAGCACTGCTGCCTTTATCGCTGACCTCCTCGCTTTCTACAGCACCTGGAGTTGCTGCTGCCTGGAAGACGAAAGACAGGACATTTAGGGTAAATAGGTGGAATAAATCTGTGATTCTTAAATTGTTTTTGCTGACATTTTGTTAGGGATGTAGTCAGTTGCATAGCTGTATTCACAGAGAAGCTTAGGTTCAGTTACCCATAAGAGCACGCTGCCATAATGAGAACCAAAGATGTTCACCATCATACAGACAACACATACCACACTGTGTAAGTTTTATGCTAATATCTTGTCTATGATTGATCATTTGAGAAAAACAGACGATCCAGGATTCTGATATCTGTCTGCTATCTGCATAGGCGAGTTCTGCTGTAGCTAGCCAGACATTTTAAAATGAGCAGCAATATTTGTCAAATAGTTCCCAGTGAATATTGAGTAGTATTTTAGCTTGAAATGCCCATCCCTAATAAATATTATAGGTAGCTGAAAAGTGACTACCATACATACATTTCTTAGTCTGCAGTATTAGAATGTTAAAAAATTGTAAATTTATGATAATATATCATCAAATCAATCAGTAAATATTATAGTACAAGCCATCTGATTTCTGGTATTACAAAACAAGATGGGTAAACAAGATGGTATGATGTGACACAACACACTGGATTGCTGCATACCTGAGTATCCTCTTGCTGCCGTCTCAGCTGCTCAACCATGGCCTGAAATTCCTCCTCCTTCTGCTTAGCCTCCTTAATGTTGGCCTGGCTCTGCTCCTCATAGGCCATGGCTACTACAGCCAAGATCAGGTTGATCAGGTAGAAGGAACCAAGGAATATCACCAGCACAAAAAAGATCATGTAGGGTTTCCCAGCTGCCCGCAACGTCTGGAGGAAACACAAACAATGCTCTGGTCTCTGATTACATATACAGTATGTGTAATCATAATGTGATTGCTTGTTTATATTTATACTTTTTTCATGCTAACTAGGGAAATTATTAAACCAGGATGAAGATATAAAAACTCTGTTGACTGTTGCTGTGGTTTTGATACATCCATTGTTGTTTTCTTCTATAAGAAATAGCAGTCATCAAGTTTGGCTTTGAATATGATTGTTTAGCAGAGTAAAAAAGAAAAGAAAATTCCAAGAGTTACTGACATAAAAGAAAGCTAAGACATTAGATTATAGTATAAAGATTTGTTCATGAGATCTTTGTTGTATTACTGTTTGCGTTACATGCTGATAGTACAGTACATCTATTCTTTGAACACCTTTAGAGCCATTCATAACATGTTTGTCTGAGTCACTGTGGAACTCATCTTTTTTCCTTTTGGCCAAGATGCACCTGCACTTGATTTAGAGCTTTGTTTAAACAGGATGATTAAAACACTCCCTTTATTATCATTGCTGTAATGTGAGAACACGCATCCTTAGTGCAGCAAACATCAGTTTTTTTATGTATTTAGAACATCGGCCATTACAAACAGGGCACCCTGAACCACGCATGAAGTCAAACAGCTCATCAACCTGTCAGCAAACATGCTCTTCTTAAAAAAACAAGGAAGACTCATAATTAGCCTAATACAAAACAGTCATGCTGAAAATCTGGACTGAATCAACAGTTTGTGTTGAATAATTAAATGGTTTTATTAAAGCCACAATATGTAGCTTGTTTTCAAATATTTTTGTTGTAGAAATTTGCTCCAGAACTTAGTCTCAGTCTTAATGTGGAGAGGTGCTGTCGATGCCTCCTCTGACCCAGACTCATTGAGTATGAACTGTTTAAACATGTTGACATTTTTTGGCATTCCTAGTTCCACTGCCTACCTGCTGGTAAAGGTTTTCCCAGTAATCCTGTGTCATCAGTCTGAACAGAGAAAGGAAGGCCCAACCGAATGAGTCAAAGCTGGTGTAACCATAGTCTGGGTTTCTTCCGATTTTCATGCACTCGAACCCCTCTGGACACTGCCTGCAACAAACAGAGAGTCTGTCAACCTCTGAGGGGGATCACACTTCTGCTTGCTCTCAGTATATGGTGATATTTCATGCCAAAACAGAAACGTCAGGCATTTTATTCATTCTATATTGTATCCAGGCTTCTAATAGTCGAGGAATAAACTTACCCAGCTCCACTGCCAGTTCCACAAAGCAATGGATCTCGTTTTCCTGGAAGGTAATAATAATTACCTGGTAGGAAGAGAAGGAAAATCATAGTTTTGCTTTTTTGTGGTAAGGGCTGTGGCTGAGGCACAAGGTAGGCACAATACATTTATAAGGGACATCCTCACAATCTAATGCAATCCAGTTCAACAGTACTGTGAACGTGAGTTACAGGTTCTTAAGTTGGCATCTTCAAATAGCTCATCTACAACCTGAAATGGATCAATTAACTTCATGTATCACATAAGAAAAACAGCAAATCCTCACTTTCTCGGAGGTTCTCAGAGGGACTGGGGAATGTTTGTGAGTTTTGCTCACTCAAAATCACATAATGTCCAGTGTATCCCCTTAGATATAATGTTAGGACCACCCTATGACCAACTCGGAGCAGAACAGAAGAAAATCAGATACTCACTCTTATTGAGCCTGTATTCAGTCAAGTTGAAAAAGGGCACTGTTCCATTCACGTCAGTCCAATTAGATGATGTTTCATTATGTGGGATCCGTACACACTTTTGACTTAAATGACCCATAAACAATTGTAACCCTATGAGGGCAAAGACACTCAAGCAGAAGACGGTGAGGATCATGACATCAGAAAGTTTTTTCACTGACTGGAACAAAGCACCAACGATGGTCTTCAGGCCTGCCAGATATAATATCATTTGTTATTCTGTAAAAATTGAGATCTTTCACAATTATGCAATATTTTAAAGGAAACAGATGAAATATTCAGAAAAGTGAATCTTTAGCCACCATGTTTTGATACTGTTTTGTTCTGAAATTTTTGGCAACACAGAGGCCACTTATCAGTCAAAACTCAGTTTATCACTCAGAACAGAAAGACATATACAAAATTAGGATCATGCATCTATGTGATGATGTACATGCAGCAAAAATGGTACACACCCTTACCACAGATTACATGACTTCCTTACAAATTTGCTACATTATGCCTTCATTAACCACAAGCCAGACAGTCAAGGAGTGGTCCACTCAGAAACATGAGTGCAAAGAAAACTAAAAAGCAGGTTGGCACAGCTCTCACAGAGTAGCTTTGGAAACTAATTCTACTTTTTCCCCTAAAGATCCTTGGAAAGGAAAACATAACACTTTTCATTTTTGCATCTTATTTCAGTGGCTACACTGAATACTGATCTACTGACACCGCAATTTGATGTAACTCTCATCTGGGATACCCATTGTTGCTTTTAGGAATTTGGATGCTTAGATTATTTAAACCACTCTGTGATATATATTGTAGCTGTGATAAGGAGGTGGACACTGGAGGTCAGAGAGCATCCTACATACAGTCTTATGCAAAAGTTTAGGCACCCCTTGATAAATAACAGATTTTGGTGATTTTTTATTTGAACAGATGTTAACACAGTTTCTCTTGGAAATGGAAAAAATGCACAATATTTTCAGCAAACAGTGATGCATAGTTACTTCTTATGCCATAAATTGAACAAAAATAAAAAATAAAAACATTATTATGGCATGGTGCAAAAGTTTGGGCACCCTACACAATCAGTACTTAGTAACACCTCCTCTGGCAGATATCACAGCTTGCAAACGCTTTTCATAGCCAGCTAAAAGTCTTTCAATTCTTGTACTTGGGATCTTCTCCCATTCTTCCTTGCAAAAGGCTTCTAGTTCTGTAATATTCTTTGGTCGTCTTGCATGCACAGCTCTTTTAAGATCTACCCACAAATTTTCAATGATGTTTAAATCAGGGGACTGTGATGGCCATTCCAAAACCTTCAGCCTGCGTCTCTTGAGGTATTCCATAGTGGATTTCGAGGTATGTTTAGGATCATTGTCCTGTTGTAGAAGCCATCCTCTTTTCAGCTTCAGCTTTTTTACAGATGGTGTGATGTTTGCTTCCAGAATTTGCTGGTATTTAGTGGAATCCATTCTTCCCTCCACCCGTGCAATGTTTCCTGTGCCACTGGCTGCAACACAACCCCAGAGCATGATAGATCCACCCCCATGCTTAATAGTTGGCAAGGTGTTCTTTTCATGAAATGCTGCTCCTTTTTTTCTCCAAACATGCCTTTGCTGATTGTGTCCAAAGAGTTCTATTTTAACTTCATCAGTCCACAGCACTTGTTTCCAAAACGCATCGGGCTTCTGTAGATGTCCTGTTGCATACTTCAGACGTTGGATTTTATGATGGGGACGCAGATAAGGTTTTCTTCTGCTGACTCTTCCATGAAGGCCTTGTCTGTGCAAGCATCGCTGCACAGTGGAACGGTGCACCACCACTCCTGAGTCTGCTAAATCTTCCTGCAGGTTTTTTGCAGTCAAATGGGGGTTTTGATTTGTCTTTCTGACCAGCATACGAGCAGTTCTGTCCGAGAGTTTTCTTGGTCTTCCAGATCTCATCTTGACCTCCACAGTTCCCCTGATCTGCCATCTCTTAATTACATTTCTTACTGTGGAAACTGCAAGCTGACAACGCTTTGCTATCTTCTTGTAGCCTTCTCCTGCATTGTGGGCATCAATAACTTTCATTTTCAGGGTCTTACACAGCTGCTTAGAGGAACCCATGGTTGCTGGGTGTCCACAAGTGTGTGCACAAGGTTTGAAGAGTCAAAGTATTTGTACAGCTTTGAAATTGGCATTTACCAATGACAGCTGTTGCTGTGCATCAGATCTAACGAGCTGATTAAGGTCTGATACCTTGTGAGAGACTTTGAGACTCTGGAACTCTTAGGGTGCCCAAACTTTTGCACCATGCCATAATCATGTTTTTATTTTTTATTTTTGTTCAATTTATGGCATAAGAAGTAACTATGCATCACTGTTTGCAGAAAATATTGTGCATTTTTTCCATTTCCAAGAGAAACTGTGTTAACATCTGTTCAAATAAAAAATCACCAAAATCTGTTATTTATCAAGGGGTGCCTAAACTTTTGCATAAGACTGTACATGTAAAGACAGCTGCAAGAAGAGAGGTAATTGATGCAAGAGGGGAACTACCATGCAGTTGTTCCTACTGCTTACCTGGTATAACTGAGATAGCTTTGAAAGCTCTCAGCACTCTGAATGTGCGAAGGACTGAAAAATTGCCTAGGGTTACAAACTCTGTTACATACCTGCAAGAAAACTCAGAATTACTATGCAATATTGACTCAGACAACAATGCATGTAACATAGATTGAAGCCAACAATCCTACTGTAGATAGATAAGTTGCATGATTACACTGAAGTACATACAGTATCAGGTGTAACAAAACTATTCACTGCATACACATTGGCAAAGATAAAATGAGGCCACTGTGACGTACAATAACATGTGCACCAGATCCCATGTGATAAAAATGTAAAGGATAAGACTGGTGATATTCTATATTAAGACCAAAACCAACAATGAACTGGTCCTACCAACAAGTATTGCCCTGCATATTGTTTGTGCTTCAAAAGTGTAATCCACAGCTGAAAATAGAGCCTAACATATACATAGTTTAGTCAAGTCTAAAAAAATGTTTGCTAAAAACTAAAAGCCAGCAGTTTAAGAATATTTATTTATCATTTTTAAAATGAAACTATATATTTGGAGTTGACTGTAAAGATTCATAACTTCAGTAGGAATTGCTGGGCCTTGACCACTGACATGTACTATGATGGACATGGATTCACCACTTCCCTCCACTATGCAAAAGTGAAGCCTAGATATCATGAATACGGCGACTGCCGTCTTGCTTTTTTACAACCAGATTCTGTGCAGTAGCAACCAGAAGTGAAGCGATCGCCAATCAAAGCTGTCAAATCAACCAAAACACATCACTTTTTATATCATCAAATAACTTATTGGAAACAAACTTACCAGAAACATGAAAACTTGTACATCAGTGTAATAATATCTACCAAAAACCACAGAAGTGACCTGTGGGAAAAATTTATCTGATTTGTACTTTGAGTTTTTAGCGTGGCTAAGTTGGAGGAGGCGGGATTTATGACCTATATTGCAACCAGCCACCAGGGGGCGATCGAGTCACGGTAGCATCACTTCTGAGAGCTCTTAGCCTGTCCATCGTTTTTACAGTCACTGGCTTCAACTGAGTGCCACAGGCAGGGTGGGAACCCGGCAATACTGAAATATGTTCTAATGCATGATTTGTCTAGGATTTGCTGACTGTAAGAAAACTATAAAGTAACACCAGCTTTATCCTCTAAGACCTGAAAACATGTCTTTTGAACTAAACTGATCCTGGTAATATAGATGCAAGTAATAATCATACATACTGTTGATTTTGGTACCAACAGTGACACAATAAAACACAGAACTTGTTGGTTGCCAGCTCATGCATTTGTAAGACAAACTCTATACTAAGGAACCTTGCAGAAAAGATTTAAGAGTTGTTCAAGCATTATTTAGTTTAAATTATATAAGTACTTACGCCATAACAATAACAGAGAAATCCAGCCAGTTCCAGGGATCTCTTAGAAAGGTGAACTTTCCTATGCAGAACCCTCGAGCTAAGATTTTAACCAGAGATTCAAAAGTATAGATTGCGGTAAATGTGTACCTGTTGGAAGAAAATGTCTGTTACTCTACACGGCATCTACACTGTGTGTAATGTATTTATTAAATAGTGTGTTTATGTGATTCAGTGTGGGGTTCATGGAAAACTTACTCTACATTCTTTGTCCAGTCCGGTGGTTTCTTCAGTGTCATAAATACACAGTTGGTAATGATGGTAAGCATGATCATAACATTGAACAATCTGCAGGTAGTTGTCAAGAAAGCCACTTATCATTAGGGCTGGACCCAAATACTCAACTATTCGGATATCCGTTCACTGGGTAGATAACTGGTTTTCAATTTTAGTATTTGAATAGTTGAGAAATCAGGAAATTTAAATTCAGTCTGAGTCAGATGATGAAGAATTATGGATGGAGACAGCTTAAGTCGGCTAATTGGTACTCTGAAAATCTCCAAATAAGCCTACGCATTACTCGAACAGGCAGACCAGATATCCTAAATCTAAATGGTGACTTTCTTGTCTGAAAAAATATCAAAACGTAAAAGCATATGTGCAGTTAGCTGTGAGATGGCTGTGCTGGGACTGCCTACAAAGTTCAACACTGAAACGAGGTACTACAAAAATATTCAGTAGCTTCGCTCTTAGACACATTGTTCCAACCTAAGTGTTGTGGTATAACCAACAGAAGACCAGTGATGGGTTAAGTAATTCTGGTGACAATAGATGACACTAAGAGTGGATATTTCTGTTGTATCTCTTTTCAGCGTTGCACTTTGTAGACGGTCCTGAATGAAGGCCTGAGGAACACAGAGTCTAGTACTCTATGTCTGAATGACAGAAAGCCGTCACTTTAACAGACCGATCAAGCAGCAACGTTGCATATACACATATTTGCCGATTATTACTACCAAAGCTCTGAAGCCCATTCGAGATAGCCCTACTGCTCATATTTCAAACAAAGCAGCAATGTAAACAATTCATCTTGTCATATTTTGGCAAACAGTAATCAGGTTATAGGATAGAAACCCAAGTTTTGTATGGGCTCAACACAAACATCATTCATATTTGTCAGATTAATGCCTTAATGAAAGGATATGAGTGTACCAATATCCTAATTGATATTCTTCTAAGAGGGTTGAGGGGGCTCAGGAGGTACAAGGCAGGATCGGCGTTGAAGCGGAAGATGAACTTTTTTTTGTTTAATACTATGAAAGTCTAAGAGAAAAAGAGATACTGGTTTGTCTTTCGTGAATGTATAAAATACTCTTATTTCCATTAAACTGATTTGCAATACCTCATTATACTTTTCAATATTAATAAACCATAGTAGCATTACGTTTGACTACTACTCAGACTACAGTAGCCTTATGATTTACAGCACACATTTTGATGTATAAATCACATTCTGTATATTGCTGATGAACCTTATTAAGTCCTTTTTACTGCCTTTGTCATTTAAGATTCAAAGCCTCTGACTAGATGACACTGCAGTGATAACGGCTGCATGCAGAGCCAGATGAGAGAATCCTCATTTCAGTAATAATACCTATGTTAAGATAACATCAAAATATGTTAATAAAAGTTAATTTTTGACATCCAAAACTGTAGTTTTGTGATGGCAACTGAGCAAACTCCATTCACTGAGGAAAGATTTTTCTTAATCATGATAAGAGAAAAATAAATCTAAATTTGAATCCTGATTTTTTGTGATCAAGATTTTCATCTTATCTTTAGAATTCATGCTCAAGTTTGAAATCCAGCAAACCTACTTTCTGATTAGAATAGTAGGGATCCAAGTCCTCCAGTGGTATCGACACCATGCCTTTAGGAATGTCCCCATAGACAAGAGGGAGTGATTTGCCTGCCTCCAGGTCACGGTTAGGCTTCCGGTTATTGTCATCACTGCGTTTTTTCTTCTCGCCCTTTGGCCTCTTGGCATTTTCCTCAGCAATCCGTCCCTCGATGGCTTTGAGGGACTCGCAACTAAAGGGGTGGAAGCTGTCTGGACCTGGTGGTACAAGCAGCTCTGCCATCTTTTCATCCTGCACTTTCAGAGTGATCAGCTAACCTCCTACATGAGAAAGGCCTGAGGGGTCAGAATAGAGAAGGAGCTCTGATTAGAGATTGACAGCTATTCAAACTGCTCATTTAAATCAACCTTGTCCTAACATGAAATGTTATTCAACTGAAAAATATAATAGAACAGTTAATGTAGAATAATTAGCCTCTGGCCAATCATCTGTATTTCAAATTTCTACATAAAAACTACTGCTTTAAATGAATAAGAGGTTGGTGGGTGTGGTTAAGTATTTTGGTCAGAGATCATCTTCTCATGACATGGTAGGCTATAATAAGCCTAGAGATGGCTGTCATACACATAAATTCCTGGCAGCTATGGTAAAATTAGACCTAATTATCTGCTGGTCTGTAGAAAAAATTGAGATTGGATGTGACAGTGATCAATTCCAGGTGAGATTTTTGCTCCTCTCTTCCATCTCTCAAAATGAAAAGAGGCCACTTTTCCCTTAGCGCTTGAGACATAGGGGTCGGAGGAAAAGATCCATCCTACTAATAGGCCTGACTGGTATGATGTGTTGGGCAGACCTATGCAGTATTAAATATGAATGCACTACAGACTGCACTGCATCTCTGTGGGTGCCCTGGCACTGAGAGCTTTTGCCTGATCTGGATATATACGTGTAATAGAATACTTCCACAGCCTGTGATGCAAGAAATCAATCACAAACACACTGGTCAATCCACTGTCCTCAGCACTGAGTTATACATGGCTGTGATGTAATGTAATAACACAGGGATGTCAAACTACAAAAAAAACTGTAAGTCTTAATTTATGTTTATGCACATGGTTTTCATATCTACTAGACAGTAACTCCAACACAGACACACTACAGCAAAGCAAAATGTGGTCTCTAAAATGACATTTTATGAAATAAAAGTACACCATTTGGGATCAGAGTACCAGTGCTCTGCTCTGCTGTAGCCTTTATGAGTGAAACAAAAATAAATGTAATAGACAGACAGACAGATAGACAGATAGATAGACAGATAGATAGATAGATAGATAGATAGATAGATAGATAGATAGATAGATAGATAGTGTTTATCATGTGTGGTACAGTAGGAAGTGCCTTGATAAAGTGCCACTGATGTGTGACAATCTTAAGTGACAGCTGTCACTCCTTGTAACTACAACCACTGTATTGGTTAAAAGGAACAACTGAACTTCTGAGTAACAACAAACTTCTTCTTAAAAGATAAGGTCCGTCATTTTCCATATTAACCCACTTGTTATGTTCATTTCTCAGGAACAGCAGTGATGTTCCTGGGTTAATTTTACCCTTAGTAACCATTTCAATCACTATTTAGTGCAATGGTGTTCTTTACCTCTCAGGTTATGGTTCAATGAGGATAATGCACTAGTTTTTCATAAAAAATGCATGTTAAAACTTTTTTAATATACATTGGAAAGACCTACATATAAAATACACTATTTTTACATGACGTTGATTTTTGAAGTTTTATTTTACATTTTGAAATCATACATTTATTTTTATGAAGTGATGTTCATAAATTACCATGAGACACCTCTTGTGTTCAGGGTGGATTTGACCCGCAACATAACAGGAGGGTTAACAGTATTTTCAACACTCCCCCATACAGAGACTGAAACCAACAATGAATTACCTCTACTCACGATTAATGTCTGTCAATCTGTCAGCCCTGGATCATCTTATTTGTCTGTGCCATAAAACAGTGCGTCCCAAAATTTTTCCTAAAGAGACCCCTGTTTCATCAAGTACGCTGATGACCCCACCCCTTAAACCACACACATAATTACAAATGGACAAATAGAGTACTTCTTTTAAAATTTCTTTTGTAGAAATTTCATAAAGTATCTAACTTATATAAAAACACTGTACAATGAACACCAACAGTGAACTTAATACCTGTAGTAAGTTTGAACAAGTTATTTTTCTGCAATATATCAGATGATTTTTCCTTAGCCTATATTTAGTCTTGGAGCAATGTCCGGTCCTTTCATAAGCCAAAACTGCTTGTATATATGTTCAATGTAGAATCTCTAGGAGAGAATCTGACCTGATTGATATCATGCGCTCATCCTCAGCTTGGAGGTATTCCACGTTCTCTTCTTTTGTAAGAAATAGATCTATCACCCATGCATCTTTGTGACATATTCATTAACATCTGAAAATCTGGATTTCATCTCTCTCTCTCTTTTTTTAATAAAAATCAAGAGGACACCCCCCCAGTTCCCACTTGGGAACCACTGCCATAGACCTCCACGGCTGTTCAAAAACAATTAAAAACGCATCAGTGAAACACACCGCTGCACTGGGTGACATGTTTCCTCATGAGCAAACCCCAGACCCAAGCATGAAGAGCTAGAAGACTGTAAAAGCAGAGAGCTTGCACAAGATCTTGGACATGCACAGTCAACAACTCTGACATGTGCTAACTTCAGCAAAATATGGCCACATGGAGCCTTAGTGGCAACATAGTCTGGTTTGGGGTTTTGTAATACAGTAACATGTCACCCAGTGCACTGGTGTGTTTCCCAGATGCATTTTTAATGTTTTTTGAACAACAATGGAGGTCTATCGCACAGACAAACCAGGTATTCCAGGAATAACAGCTGACAGACATTAACCGTGAGTACAGGAAATTCATTGTTGGTTTTAGTCTGTGAATGGAAATTTCTGAAACTACTATTAATTTAGAAAAGGCCTTATCCTTTAACAATCTGATAACTCTCTGAAAACAAAATAATAAACATTGATTTGATGTTCACCCAAAAAGGTCAAGCTGCTAAAGAGGTATGCATAAATCTGTCCCCAACTCATTACACACAGCTTGAGATATGAGCTGCCACTTTGAAGCTTCAAACAGGCCCACTTCAATTTATCTGCAACCTGTCAGCATCATGACCTTGTACTGACTAACCTAAAATGGACACATTTGTTCCCACCAACTTGTGCTGGAACAGAACATCAGCACATTGGTTTGTTATTTCTCTTCACCATACATCTAACTCGGCCCTGCTGAGGATCTTTAAGTGATGACTGCCAGCTGATTCGTCTTCAAGTATATGAAACACTCATGCAGTGTAAAAGAGAAGCTCAGCTTGAATATTTAATGGACATTACTAATTTCAAAACTTAATTTCATTCACCTCAAAATGCTTCTTATTTACATAAAGAAAGCACTGGTTTGTGTTTGTAGATCACTGCTTCGTGCTTCCAATCAAAACATACTGAGCCGATGCAGGGCAAAGCTACTCTAGATGTTAACAAAGGAAAAATACTTTATTCATAGTTGATCAATTAATTAACTGGCAATAATTTTTTATAATCAATTATTATTTTGAGCCACGCTTAAAAAAAAAGAAGGTCAAATTCCCCAGTTTAAGCTTCTCAAATGGGAATATTTTCTGTTTTACTTAGTCTGCTTGGCATGTTTGGGTTTTAGACTATTGGTCAGAACAAGACACTTGTGATGGACATTTTCCACAATTTCACTTTTGTAGCCCCAAATACTAAGCAATTAATCAAGAAAAAATAACCAGCAGACTAATTGATAATGACACCCTTAGTTACAGGCCCACAATGTGTCCATTTTGGTTTGGACATCATAGTTAAAGAGAAATGTTTTCCAAAATGGGAATATCTCTGTTAGGCAAGGCATGACTCAGTATATTTGTTCTGCACAGCAGCTGAACCGTGTTCTCAAAAGGGTCTCGTCTTTGCTGTCAGAATCTTATCAATATTTAAAGTGATTATGGTGAAACTGGTTACAAAGTGTAACCTAGTCTCTGAGGTACAAGCATGGCAAAATAAACCACAAGCACATATTTACAACGGTCAAGAAGAATGACTGTTTATGTATCTTCCAGTTAACCAGACACAGGTACAGTGCACTGTTCTGATAAAACATTTTGGCATATAATTTTATACAAAAAAACCCTGTAACTTCAGAAACAATCCATTATTATAATGAGGATGGTGGCTTTTGTTCCCATCACTTACACTGGAATCGCATACTGGAAGCAAGGGATGGCCTCAGGGCAGGGATGGACAGGAGGAACAATTACACCAACCAATCCAATTTTCAGTGCACTCACAGCATGGGATGCGAGTATGGTGTCATGACAGACTTGGAAACAATGAATCTATCATTTAGACCCATGTACTCTAATGAAAGGTCTTGTTAACTTGAGGTTGTCTTCCAGTAGATATAAAGACTGCACTATAGCTCAGTTTTGGTCGACCCTCACCTCACAGCAGGCCTACAGCTGAACAATAACTAGTGATCAGTAGTATGACATTCATTACTCAGTAGGATTGACATAACATGGCCCTTCATCTTAAATATACATGCACACAGAGTGATCACACTTCAGTATTTGTGGGCTCCTTAGGGACCAACACACTCACAGTTCTTAAGTGCTCACACTCTGCGTTTACTAATGCCTCTTACAGAGAACAGCATCAGGACTAGGTCTTGCTCATTCAGGGCGTTGGCAAAGTAGCTGATGATGGGAAGCTGTTAACATTCTCTGGAATAATTTCACGTTTTTACATACAAGCTGTGGGGCAGTGCTGTTTGTGTGCTGCCTGGATAGAGAGCAAACAGGACACACTGATCTCTAATTGACAGCAATCTAATAATGATGTTGACAATCATGCAAGCAGGAAGTCATCTAAGATGGAGTGTGGGCTAGTAATTGCTTCCATGCCCATTAACTTCTGTAATACACTGTAGCCCAGGATTTGCACTCTAAAATTTGTCCAATTATCCAAGAAGATAATCTCGTTTTTCCATAAAACCCCTCTGCCACTGTTTCAATAGTAAAACATGACATCTAACAAGAAGATAAGCAGTTCTCAATATAAAGACATTAAGGACAGACATACAGACAGATAGATAGATAGATAGATAGACTTTCACAGCTACAGGCTTCCGCAAAATATTCACAAAAATAGATGAACTTTCAGTCGAATTCAGATCAATTTCTTTGAGGAAACAAGCACTCAGTACAACTTTAACAGATTTTGTTCAACTCACCATCACTTTTCCATCCTCGACAGGTGAACAATACTCAGAAAATATCGTGGATGCGTTTCGGTGTCAATAAAATGCTGTTTAAAAATAAACCTGTCCGCCCTTTTATGATATTTGACGCATCTTTCTGTGCAGAACTGATAATTTCCACGACTTCAACAGGAAAAGCCCGAGAGCGACTGTTTCATCCACCCCTCCGTGCGGTAGAGTCTGAGAAGTGTAGATCTGCGCTCCCGGATGTTCCTGGGTACCGAGTGAGAGCAGGATGGTCGTTTAGATACTACTGCGGTGGATTATCGTGCGTAATTGTGGGTTTGTTTGCAATTTGGCCCATACTGGAAACTAAAAGCTAAAGCCACAGCTATGTGTGTGTAAGAGCATATAGTTATGTAAACGTGAGCGCACTCAGTCCTTAGAGCAGCTGTCTAAATTGCACCCAGTCAGTGAGGAAACTACAGCCACATCAAACGGTCTCCAAACAACTTTAATGTCTTCTTTACGAATATTAATACAGTTTTAACAGTGGGGTGGGTAAGTTGATTGCTGCCACCTAGTGGCTACAGACAGTTATAAGAGAAATTTACCACAATCTTTCAGTTGGTCTCTCAAGTCTCCAGAATTGAAAAACAAACCAATTACATGTCTACTTGAGATTTACACATTTTAACAATGTTATTTGGAAGTGTCAGTGAATAGAATATGCACAGACAAATATAAAAAACTAGAAAAGATGGATGTTTTAACACATTATTTGAATTCTTTAAACAAAAAATGAAGATTTGGTAGTAGAAAATTTGCTTTTGTGTATATGGAATTATGCTACTGAATTTGTAAGAAAAAACATTTGCAATGAAACCAATAAAGACCATAACAAGATCACACTTTATTTTATCCCCACATGTTAAACATTTATAAGTAACATTTGTGGTTATAGCAGATATAAGGACATTTTAAAGTAGTTCAATCAATCATAAACTTTATTGCAAAGTAATACAGGGAATTTGACTCCAGCTCAGTGTCTTCTGTTGTGCACTCCCAGCTTTAGATTATGAACCAGAGAGGACATCTGAATCCTACTGAGCTTGAAAATTCATTCCTTGATCTAGACTGTGTAGATTCATGACTGGATTAAATAAAACCCATAAAACCACACTATTAAGGTTGTCTCCCGGTGTGTGGGGCAATATTCACTCAGTGGTACAGGTTGTTTACTTTGTGTTCAAAAGCAGAGACAACCTGTCAATTTAAATGTAAGAATCGTCTGTTTTCTGGAAATACTATTGTCAGTGAGGCCTGTACCTTCAATACACGGGGTTCCCCGCCCCTTCCCATTACATAACAATCAGCATACCTGCAGGGTAAAATGATTATCGGTGGCGGAAAAGGAAGTGTGGGGTTCCCGCAGACCAACCATCCAATCATTAACAAGGGGCGTGCGCAGTGAGCGTGGCTGCAAGTGTTTTGAATTTTGAGAGCAGCTGGTTGTTTGTTCTAGTGATGGGAAATTCGGATCATTACTTATTCGGTTCTTTGAATCTTGTTAAACAAAATGAACAAATCTTTTTTAGAGTCATTTCGTTCACTTCAGCAGAATGTAATTAAAATGTTACATGTTAATTCCCCATCTACTTACGCACATTTTGATCAGGTCCCATACAGCCCTTTTTATTTGTTCATATTTCTATATTGACTTATACAATTGTATGTTATGTAAATAATATGTCTGTCTTTTAAGCCGAGAGCTGCTGAAAAAAATTTCGTTGTGCTATGCATAATGACAATAAAGATTCTTGACTCTTGACTTGACTTGACTCTTGACTCATGTTTCGAATAAGAAAGAACTGTAATGCAGCCAAGGTCATATTCTAAGTAATATCATACCTGTGTCTTGAGGCTATGCAGTCTGTTACTTCATCACCTCCCCTCCGGATAGTTTGGGTCAAATTCGTTTGGTTTTTTGTCACATAACATCCTAAGCTTAAGCTATGCCGTACCGTGCCGTCTTCTGTATAGTATACAGAAAGATTTTCCCTGATGAAGTATAAAGCATTAACCAACTCTTTATTAAAACATTCAGTGTTATGTAAAAGAACCATATTGACAGATATTCACAAAATTATAGTCTGTAGGAAATAAAAAGCTGTAAGGACAGGTGAAAATTAACCAATTTCTGTAGCCAACAAAGCGGTTATGTGACATTACAAAAATGAACGACTCGAAACCGAGGACTCGAAAGGTGAACTTATCTTTAAAAGATTTGTTCAAAAACAAACGACTCGAAAGGTGTACTAATCTTTAAAAGATTCGCTCAAAAACAAATGACTCGAAAGGTGAACTAATCTTTAAAAGATTTGTTCAAAAACGAATTACTCGAAACCGAGAACTCGAAAGGTGAACTAATCTTATGCGATGGTATACAGTGGACCACATTATCCGGGGTATAGCTCTGGAATGGTTTCGATCTTATCTTAAGGATAGATCCTTCTGGATCCTTCTGGACACTGGGAGATGCTGTATCTTCCTCTGAGCCCCTTTTGTATGGGGTACCGCAAGGCTCGGTCCTTGGACCCCTTCTTTTTTCCCTTTACCTTCTTCCACTTGGTTCTATACTCAGGAATCACGGTGTTTCCTTTCATTTTTATGCGAATGATTGCCAGCTTTACCTACCGATTAATAAGGCGAGCTCTTCTGTTAGCACACTTCTTGAATGGCTTGATGACATTAAATCTTGGCTCGCTTTTAACTTTTTAAAGCTGAATGAGGATAAGACTGAGGTGATAGTATTTGGTGATTCTGTTGGTTCACCATCTATTGACTTGGGCTCATTGGCTCAATATAATAAAAAGAATATTTTAAATTTAGGTATTAAGATGTTTCCCGATTTAAGATGCGACAGCCAAATTGCAGCTGTCGTTAAATCTAGTTTCCGTCTTTTAACAGGTACAAGGAAATATGAGCATATCTCTCCAGTTTTGGCCTCCCTACATTGGTTACCTGTTCATTTTCGGGTCCATTACAAAATTTTACTCTTTGTTTTTAAATCCCTTCATGGCTCTGCACCATCCTGCTTATCTGATTTGCTCCACACGCTCTCTGAGGTCAGCAAATCAGTTTCTCTTGAGTGTTCCAAGAACAAAGCGTAAGCTTAGAGGTGATCAAGCCTTCGCAGTTGCTGGTCCTAAACTCTGGAATGATTTACTGCTGTCCATTAGACAAGCCTCTACCCTGTCTGTTTTTAAGTCTCTTTTAAAAACTCATTTATTTTCCCTGGCATTTTGATATTTTATTTTTGTGTTGATTGTAGTCATTTTTTAAATTGATTATATTTTACTGTATATTGTTGTTTGTGGGTTTATAATTTATACTGTTTTATTGCAATGTACAGCACTTTGTTCCACTCTGGTTGTTTTTAATGCTTTATAAATAAAGTTGGTATGGTATGGTATGCGCGGTCAACACAAAATGAACGAATTACTCCCCGAGATGACCCGATGTTCTCAAGTCATGGGAAAGATTCATTCAAAATGAACGAATCATTTGTGAACGACACATCACTAGTTTGTTCAGTCTGCAGAAAAGAGCTGTTTACTGCATCAGTCGCTATAGTCTCAGCCTGAGCTTCTAATTTCTCCAGTGTTGATTCGAGTTGCCAAGCACATTGCTGTGCGTGCAGGAAAATGGAGCTTGATGTGTTTGGTAAGTCCCATAATGTTTCTTTAAGAAAACCTGTTTAACAGCCATTTGACTCAGACTATGTTGTCTCCTCCTGCCACAGGTGTGTGTCGGAAGACGCCAAAACACGCACAACCAGCTGTGTTTGTGGCTGTCTTGTGCAACTAAATATCTAGTTAAGTAATGTCGGAAAAATGTTAAGACACCGCATTGACCATGTCTGGACTCAAAAGCACTCAAAAGGTCTCTAAACCAAAAAGGTGAGTGATGGGCTGGAAATTGGCTAATGTAGCCAGGCTTTGTTGTAGGCTAATGTCAGGTGTGTTGGTTCTGTTTAGCTAGCTAACTTTGTCAGGTAGCATAGGCTGGTTGTTAAGGAAAATGAGTTTGACTTTACTGTGCCATGAGCAGCTCACCTGCCAAAGACCTGTGTATTATATAATGTTCTGTTTTCATTATTAGGCTTTGATATTTATCTGGAAGTTTGTATAATTCAACAAGTAGATGGGTCAGAGGGACACACAAGCACCTGTTAGTTCATAGGCCTAACATTACACTTCACAAGACAAAAATGCTGTTGGGCCTAACATCCATCCATCCATCCATCCATTTTCCTCCGCTTATCCGGAACCGGGTCACAGTGGCAGCAGTCTAAGCAAAGATGCCCAGACTTCCCTCTCTCCAGACACTTCCTCCAGCTCCTCCGGGGGAATGC